TTGTTCCAAGTTGTATATTGCTCTGATTGCCCAACATCTTGCAAGTAGGTGAGATCTAGGAGTGCCATAGTCAGGCTGCTTGTCGAATCCGGCATTATTCCCTTCAGGAATACGAGCACACCCATAAACACACACATACAAACTTAGTATGAACTGGGCCAAATTACCTATGTAAACTTCCTATCCACACATCAATACCTTCATTGTTCATAATTTTGCAATTAATTGAGTGTTGCAAATGAAAAATGAAAATATGCATCATAGAAGTGCATACGTTAAAAAAAATGCACAGAAATGCATGTGAATGTTCATATAAGATTTTTATTTTGTTTTGTTTTTATTTGCCAAATTTTAAACAGCATGGCTGAAAGAACAAGGGATCAGAAGAAAATTTCACAAAAAACCAAGACTGAGAGAACAGTCCACTTGCTAACTCTCTCAAATAGAAAGAATTATGACTTAGTATATATAGCTGCAATCTTAAGGGATAATAAATTCTCTATAAATAAATAGCACAGACATTTACATTAAAAAGTTTAATAATATTATCCCAAAACTTGGTCTATAGAAAGTTTAAATGTTCTTTTGAGACTTCTATATATTTTGATGATGTATTTAATCATTTACATACATGCGTAAATTTTTTTTTAAAAAAACAATGTTTTTTTTATTCCTGCATTAAAATGTCCTATTTTTTTCAGAGCCAAGCTAGGAATGCCACAGTTTTTGAGCATAGAAGCTCAGAGTTTGTTGCGAGCTCTTTTCAAGAGGAATCCATCTAACAGATTAGGTATGGGAATTTATTTTATTACTGCATAACACAGTGGCAAATTTCCCCAGTTGTTTTTCTCTTTAGTTAATTATCATTTAGTCTCATATACGTGATGCAGCTGAACAGTGTATGATGGAGAACTACAAGGTAATTTCACTTTAATTAATGACATATTTGGGGCTGTTGGAAAAGATGCTGCACATGAGTGGAAGCGCAACATATCATCCACTGACAGATACAGAATACCTGTCAGTACCTCATGCTAGAGGCACAGAGAAGCAGGACCACACAAATGAGCCAGATTTGTGTTCTCACATTTTTTCCGTGGTAGGAAAAAATGTAAAATGTAATGTGTTCTTTTAGTTCTGGTGTCTGCTGTAGAATAAATGAAGCTTGATTTTGGCCTGAATGGGTGGGAATTCTTCAATGCAAATGGTATATTGTTATCTACCAAATTATGCCCAAAGTCAGTGAATTTTCACAGCCTAATATGCTGCTCCCCATGGAATTGCTTCTTGGTTGTGACATTAGATAAGATCACAACTTCTTTTTCAATTTTTTTCTAATAATTACTGGACATTTTCTCATAGAATAGTCAGAATAATTAAGCTATGCAATTCTGGTGGCTATATCATAAAAAATAAAGGTATCATCTTCTTTTAGTCCCATTCAATTCCTTGTGGTTTCGTGGAAAGATCTCTGCAATGTTTATTTATTTGTTTGTTTAGATTTCTAGATCATCCGGAAACAGCTTGAGCCATTTTCTTAGAATTAAAAGGGGTTTGTTATTAACCATGTTCTAGGAAATTTCTGAACAAGGAGTGAATGAAATTTTGGGGACTCATTACATTTATTTCATTGAATTAGCTATCATATAGTGTTTGACTCAAAAGCTTATCTGGAGAAGACATACAGAAATGAGAAGGATTTCTGGATGGGCAAGCTGTGTGCTGCATTTTGGATGTTTGAAATAATAATACTATTAATTCTATTGTTCACAATTTCAGTTTCATAAATTTGAAATGGAAATAGGAAGACAAACATGTTCCTGCATTGGACATATCACACAGCCCACCCCCACCCTGATCTTTCCATTGAAATAACCCCTGGACAAAATAGACTAATTGTAAAGAAATGGAAACATTTCAAAGCTATATTACTGGATTCAAAATACTCCTGAAAGAAGTATGATGATAACCAACAAAACAGTAACACTTGATCTGCTGCTCCCAATGCTAGTATTTGAAGGGGGAGTTGTTATCAGGATTCTTGGCAGTTCATTTCATGACCATCTGGCTTAGCTATACATCTTCCATGTAATAATGTATGGAAGAGGGGGGGGGGAAACTGCCTTGTATTTTCTTTCCCTGCTTAACTCTAAAAGTTTTTGCTAGAAACAGCAGTTCAAAAGCGAAGAAAGATGCACCATTACATGGAAGACGTGTAACTTTAATGTGTTTTAGATACATTAGTTTGCATTTCTGACATTATGTATAAACTGCATGTGTCTCAATTGCTGTGAGAAATTAAGGAAAGCACATGCTTCCTGAAACCAAGATTGCAAAAAGACTCAGAACTGGAAAAGTCCGTGAGCAATTAACCCTTCCTTAGCCTAATTGCTTCAATCCAAATGAGATAATTCCCCCAGCTCTCTTGAGTATTGTCTTGCTAGCTGTAGATTATGTTGCTTTAAAAAAAAAACACATTATTTTGCAATTTCCCCCTTAGGTTACTGGCGGAATAATTCAAATAGAGAGAGAGAGAGAGATAGAAAAAATATTGAAATTTATGATCCTATTGCCTTATTAACAACATTGAAAGCTGTGGTTCAAGAAGTAACTCAGTCTTTCTTATCTACTATGAACGTGGATGACCGTAGACTGGGGTCCCCAGCCTTTTTGGTCTCTAGGGACACTTGGAAATTTGCAAACATATTGAGGGTGATCTTGCAAAATATCTGTTGGGATTGTTCTCCATTCACAAAATGTTTACACGGGGAACATTAAAAAAAGTTTAGCAAAACTCTCTCTAGTACCTCACCTCACTTGCATCCACGGTGTTCTCAAATATTTTTGCCTGTTTTTTGGTCAAGCAGTCCTTTTCCTAGTAAGTATTTGACTTTGTCTGCTCCTTCGTATATTCTAAGAAAGCTTGCAGAACCCGTTGGAAGCCCAAAGATATTCTTGAAAATAAGTATGAAAATGGAAGCTAGTGCTTTGATTTGCAGTATGCTTGCTTTACATCCTTTACATTTACTATAAAATCAGGAGGGACAGGCAAACTGTTTCTATGGAAAGAACTTGTTGTAGGGCACAGAAAACTTCATGGGTACCAGATGAGAGCTTTTAGAGACAAAGTCTGTCAGACGTGCTCTAAAAGGAGTTTATTTCCCAAAGCTTAATTTAAAATTGTAAATTAAAATAAAATAAACATATATATTTAAATAAATTAAAGGAAACTGTATAACCTTTGTGATGGTAAGAAAAACCATGCCAGTTGGTCATTTTATGGCCAAGCTTGCTGAGGATTATGAGAATGGAGGCCAAGCAAATTTAGAAGGGTAATTTAGCTGAAAGATTTCAGCACACATGGAATTCTTTCACTTGTTGCTTTTTTGCTCAGCATGTTTAATTATTCAAAGGCTAAAAACAACAAAGATGCTCTCCAGAGTCACTCCCTAGAGCAGGGGTGTCAAACTGCCAACCCACGGGCCGGACACGTCACATGGAAGCCGCGCCCACCCCATTGCCGGCAATGGCAAAACCGGCCCGATATGTTGCGCGATGTCACGTGACATCGCGAGTTTGACATGCCTGCCCTAGAGGGAAATGGGCAAAATATAAATTTAATAAATAAACAACAACCTCAGGTCTCCCCTAAACTTTTAAGTCTTCGTCTTTGTGCAAGAGACAGACAGCCACACTCAAGATGCAACCAATAGGTTCTATTGTTCAATGATCTCTCACCAGCAGATGGTGAGCAAATGGGAAGCCATTTCTGAGCACCAGTCAAACAAATGTAGAGAACATCTTTTGTCTAATAGCTAGACATAGTCTACACAGCCACTTATTGATAGGCTTTTAACCAAGCAGGCTCTTCTCCAGAAAGTACAGGCATTCAGAAGGAAAGGGACAGTATTATGAAAAGCACAATACGCTTCCAAACAACTGCTTTGATTGTCCATTGCAGTATCTTTTAAATGCTACTCCGGAAAATGGAAATTGCTTGAACAAAATGCTCAGTAGTTTACAAGCTCATCCTCTAAACTGCTGCATAATCCTTCTTCTAGGTGTTCTTCTCCATTAGGATAACAAATGCTCCAATTAAATATATGGCTCAGTTAAATCCAAGTTACTTAATGATTTTGGAGTACCTATTGTTTTAAAAAAAATGCTGAATCAAAGGATTTAAACAAGCTGAAGGGAAGAAGAGAGGCATAAATAGATTGGAAGAGACTGAAGTTCTTCAGACTTCTCCTCTGCTCAGAAAAGGCAGAAATGCCCAATCTGAGAATTATGGGAATTCTAATGCACATCTGGAATTGTGCAAATTTCCTGTACTGTACTGAAGGAAATGTCTTTAATGTTCTATAAACTACAAAATAAGTAATTACAACGCAGATGCAATTCTGTTAAACAAACCTGAAACATTTTAAAACTATGGAGCTATTTTAATTTGGCTTTTGGAGAGTCTAAAATTAAATGTGCTCTTGAGTATTTTAATAGCTTGAATATTAAAATGAGGATTAGATACATATTTGTTTGTGTATTACGCAAATGAGCTGTTTGTACTTGGAGGAGGGCAAGGCTTTGCACATTGGTGCGCTTTAGTCCCACTCCATTTTATGCCTTTACTGTAAGTGCCGAATGTGCTATGAGATGGCTCTTTATCCACTGAGCTTTGTAACTTGATATGTGGATTTGAACTAGGCTCTCAATAGAACTAGTCCCACCCTTAATTTACATGTTATCTTTTTTGTCTATATCAATATATTAATATATTCTCACATTCTAACTAAGTAGACAATCAGTAATTCAATTATAATATTTTGCTTTACTATTTGAAGAAAATTAACTGTAATAATTCAATGCAACAATTAACAATAATTCAACAATTTCAACATTCCCAAAGTCTCTGCTCTCTTGTTTCTGCCACTCGACATCTCTTGATGGGGAGTTATAAAAGACAAACTTGTGCCCTCTGTGTCTTCTTTTCATTTCCTTGGCAGGTGCTGGCCTTGATGGAGTTGAAGAAATTAAACGTCATCCCTTTTTTGCCACCATTGACTGGAATGTAAGTAGTTTACCCAAGTGATCTATTGTACAATGCAATTAATCAATCAATCAGTTAATTTAAAAATTCTCCTAGCAAATGGCAACTCAATTTCAGTATTCTAAACAATGTTTCCCCGTTCCAAGTACCCTATGCAATTTAGCAGCAGCAAAAATCTTTTCTGGGTATAATTTGATGTCCTCTAGATCAAGGGTCTCCAAACTTGGCAACTTTAAGACTTGTGGACTTCAGCTCCCAGAATGCCCCAGCCAGCATGGGGAAATGGCTGAACATGGCTGACTGAGGAATTCTGGAAGCTGAAGTCCACAAGTCTTAGAGTTGCCAAGCTTGGAGACCTCTGCTCTGGATATGTCAGACTCCAAATTTCCAGCCTGCAGGACATTCAGATAGATTGACATCCTATCCATCTGGAGAGCACAGAGCTAGGGAAGGTTAAGTTATTCAGGGACCCCACTAAAGCTGTTTGGTGATACAGTGAAGAATACAAAAGAGGGATTCTGCTGCTAAATGGTAACCAAGAAGGCTAAGAACACATGGCTTTCTAAACAAGCATCATTAAATGGCAGAAAACAACTTATACTCTGGGTCAACTATGGAGCTAATGAAAGGGCAACAGTATGTAATCCAGGCCTGATAGTCACAGGCAACCATATCCTGGTCCTGTCCCTATCTAGTGATCCCTGCTAAGGATTTTTCATTGGAGTACCTACTCGGTAGGATCACCAGAGACTGCCATTGCTTTTATACCACAAGTTTTAAAAAGGATATAGCTCTGTGTGGCTGGAAGAATGCCAATGGTGCAAACAATTTGAAGACACTGGACAGCTGTTCTGTCTTTTTCTTAGAGTTCTGCATGGAAGGAAAAAGACAAGATGCTGTGGGAAGACACAGACAGTTTTCTTTGTACATCTCCCCAAACTTTGGAAGTCATTTTATGAATGTCTGCTATATAGTTTCATAATGTCAGATAGGCTCCTGATCACTAAAGGCTGTCTATCTTTGAGTCACCTTATTCAAAAGTACGTATTGTACTACTGTTCTGCCATGGAATATATGACGGATATAAAGTGAGTAGCATGAGACTGCAAAATGTGAATGCCTTTAGGCCAGAGTAATAATAATAAACTTTAAAAAAATATTGAAAACTGAGTTTCCTTGCAAGGTATAATCTTGTGAGACTTAATAATCAGCAATGGCAGGGCTGGATATAAAAGTAGGCCACTTTCTTTTCTCTAAATGTACTTCTTCCATCCAATAAACTTACCAATGCTGTTGTCTGATCCAAATTGCCTCATTATATTTCCTTGCTGGAGGAAAATTTGGTACAAGAGCCTAGAATCTATAATACTAAGGGCAGAGGCATCAAAATTAGGACATATGAACGGCCCACAATCTGATTTTCTAAATCTATTCAAATTATTGATTTCTTTAAAAGTCTGTTCATGCTTGCACAAAAGTTCGTCTCATCACTTAATCGATGGGAATGTATTCAGTTTAACACATCAGAATGACTCAGCAGTTCAATCTAACTACTTTGTAATTGAACCTTCACAAATCCTGATAGAAATGTAGTAGGAAGCAAACCAGCATCATGCTACACAAACCTCTTTACAATTAATCATCCCATTTGATATTTTGGATATATGTGAAGTTCAGCTGAAAACTATGCTGTCATATTACACATAACAGAGGTAATATGTCATCATTTAGTTAAAAATAAAGATATAGTTGATATCATCCATGGCCAAGGTTGGCATCTAAAATAAATATGTTCTGTAGGTTTTATTCAGAGATGCTCAACCTTGTAAACTTAGTTGATATTGAGTATAGTTAATATGATTACTAGGCAGGTATTTAATATTTTCCCTTTCTCTCACATTAACGATTATAATTTGGTAATTACTTTAGAAGTCTCTAAAGAGTGTATCCAAGGATTTGGTAAGGTCCTATGTGATCCCAAATTACAGTCTGTGCAACTTTAGATTTAATTAAATAGAATACGATTATTTTCTAGTCATTTGGGGGGGGGGGGAGAGATGATCATACACTGATCCTAAAGGGAGAAAAAAAACTCTGTAAAATCAGAGAGGCTTGTTTTCACATAATTCAGCATATAATTTAAAACTCAGTCTCTCTGGAATCCATCCAGATTGATGGTGAATAAAGTTCTAATATGAATATTCCAGCCTGATTGTATTTGCAGCATAAGCTTTTTCTTCTATCTACATTTAGGTAATACCACTTTGAAGAAAAGGGTTTCAATACAGTTTTAATAATGTATTTAAAAAGAAGAAAATCACATGACTTTATAGTTTTTAGAATATGTACCAGCATGAGTTCTGAAACTAGTTCTAGTCATCTTATAATGATGTTTCCAGCTGCTAAAAAGACTGCTCTTCTTCATGAATAGAAAAAGAAAAGAATTAATAGAGAAGAATGGAGCCAGTGAAAGTGCTTGGTTTGTCCTGGTCACTGTTGTTATGGAAAAGGTCAAATATGACCTTATGCCTTAATCAGAAGCTTTATATGCACTGATCAGTCCCTCACAAAATTTGGTATGAGTCAATCCTAAAGAGTCAAGAAATGAATAGTGATATTTTTGATTAAGGAGAAAATTTTCCTTACAGTCACTATTGGATATGTCCCAAAATATTAAATACATTTTCATGAAATGGTTAAAAGAAAAGCAGTAGCTTTTTAATTGCCCTCATCATATTGTAGCATTTCTATTATTCTAAGAAACATACAGTATTTGAGACATTGTTTGAGAATTAAAATAATCCTGTGCTATAGTATATAAGACGGCCAACTAATTAGACAATTCTTGTTTAAAAAGCAAAACATGTATTCCTTCTTGTAATGAAACAAGTAACGTTTTGACAGTGTTTAATTGAGTAACCTTATGTTCATATTACACCAGAACCCTTTATATAATCCCCATTATATTTGTGAAATGGGTACTGAGATCTGCTCACAGCATCCTCCAAAATTCCACTAGAGCAGGCATGTCAAACTCGCGATGTCACGTGACGTCACGCAACATATCGCGACTTTTTCCCCATTGTCGCAATGGGGTGGGCGCTGTTTTGGTGTGACGCATCCGGCCCGCAGGCCGGCAGTTTGACATGCCTGCACTAGAGCTTATTAGACAAGTCTTGGGCATACCTGCCATGCTTGCAGAATTCAAGTAACTCAGAAAACCAGGTGGCAGCTAAAAAAAATACTATTGTGGCACTACTTAAATGCAATTCAGCTCAAAACTCCATAAGCATACAATTATGCCACAGTTCCTTGCGGAAGTTATAGAAGGAACAAAGCAAACAAGCCAGAAGACTTTGTGGTGGAGACTGCAGAGGTGATAGATACTGGCCCACAGATGGCATCGTCTACCCACAGCATTTTCACTACAGCCTTTAACTTTCCATTTTTTCCATTGGATCTCAGGCTCCAGCACAGGATATGAATTATTCAATTCCATAAGGCTGTGCTGGACTTTGGTTTCAATCTCCCCAAGGTGCTTGAAGATGCAAAGGACTTCTACAGCACTTTAAAGCAGCTGTATCTTTTCCTGGGATTGCAAGGCAGCAGAAATGGCACAGCTGATGTGATGTGTATGGTCCAAAGACAGAATTTGAAGCACTGTACAGTCTTAGTATTTAATAAAACCCTGCTTTTGCTGCATCTGGTACAAATATTTTAAGGAAGAATGGAGGTTTTGTCCAGCTTTGCTGGGAATTGTAAACCTAAATTAATGGCAGAAATAGTTTATGCTTATTAAGAGGGAAATCTCTCAGAACAAAATTTATCTTTATTCGGCATCTATTGATACAAAAAGTCCAAAGATAACATTTTAAAAGGGAATTCATCTCTGCACCTGCATATTACAGTACGTATGTGGTGAGGGAGGTGGCTGTCTAAATTTGTGGCAAGAGTATTGTTCCTGAAAATCCTTTATTATATTAAGCATATTTTAATTGCTATGACTCACTATCTTTCTATTTCTGGAAGGCACCTGAAGATCAGCCCAGTGTTCATAGATGTCGTTAGGAGAATGCACGCATTTAAACAGGATGGGAATGAATACATGGGGGGGAGCATAAGGGTGTGGGGTCCTTGGTGCTTTCTGAGCTTTGTTGTTGCTTGCAGATGTTTTGTTACCTGACTAGATAATATCTTCAGTGCTAGAACGGAGTGGGGTTTGCTCTCTATTTATATGCAGCAGCTTGTCCTGTCACTGTTGGTGAAGATATTGGGGATCGAGTTAATAAACCATCAATAGACATGTAATATTTATACCCCCTTCAAAAGAGTCAATAAAAAAGTGAAAAAGGAAACAAAAAGACCAGAACTAGCAATGGGTACCCAACAGGAATTAACACCAGGATGAACACCAGACAATTAAGCAGTACCAATGTCCTAATCAAGGAATTATCAAATCAGACAAATAATCAAGAGGTAAGCCAGGGGTAGTCAACCTTGGCTCTTTTATGACTCGTGGACTTCAACTCCCAGAATTCCTGAGCCAGCTGTGCTGGCTCAGGAATTCTGGGAGTTGAAGTCTACGAGTCATAAAAGAGCCAAGGTTGACTATTCCTGAGGTAAACAACATCCTAATCAAGGAATTACCAAGGGAAAAACCACACTCCCACCAATCCTGATAGGGCAAACTATTGTATATAACAGAAAACAAGCTCAGAGAGCACTAAGAAGTTCTCCACAGTTCAACCCTGAGGTACATACATTCTCTTCTATTGGTCGCATAAGGATGTGCTGCTGCCTGGAGTTCAGTTTCCATATCCTGTTTAGGATGTGTGCAAAGGAACTGCCTCTCCAGAATAGCTTGCAAAAATGGAAGGTAGAGATTGCAAGCAGAGGATCTGTTTCCATAGAAATAGATGCTTCGAGCTCTTTGTAAACAAGTCCTGATCAATGTCCCCTTCCCACCCAATATATACTGTATAGGACCAGCAGGTGCAACTTTGCTATTCTCATTCATTTCCATCAGGGGCATTCAGGACAGGAAATGACTATATACTCTTTGATTTAATTAAAATGAATTTCCTTTCAGGATGATTACCAGGTGCATACCAAGGTTGTTGATATGACAGTCTCTCAAGTTCTACTTATATATAAAGCTAAAGTTGGGTTACATCAGGTGTTCTTGACTTCATGAGGAAGGATATTGCTCAGTATGTGATTCTTAGGGATTTCCTTATTTTTTTTCTGTAGTGTTTCATTCAAATCACAGCACAGCAAGTGCTAATAGCCCCTTAAACTTGCAGTGGACTCCTGAGCAAAGATGTTGGACACTTAGAACAAAAAATAAAGACTTTATAAGGAAATATGTCCATGAAGGCAGCATTTCAAACATTATCCAAATAAATCTATTTGTCAAAGGTAATAAAACAGTTGTGAAAACCTTAGGGGAAAAATAATGCTATTTCTTCTGCTGCTGCTTAAAAATTGTTTTAATTTTTTTTAAATTAAATTTTATTATCATTATTTTAACATGTATCTGATATATCCTCGCCATAGATAACCACACCTGAATAAGTTTCTTCGAAGATGTCTTGACACAGTTGAAAACTCTGATAATACGTAGTTCTGGTTTCAACAAGAAAACCAAATTAGTAAATGCTGAATTCTCAGATATTCAAAGATAACTTCCAATGTAATGCTTCATCTTCCTTGCAAAACATTTCCCTCAGTTACTGTAATGTACAATTTGTATTGCACGTATCAGTGTGCAAAGTCCTTTATAAATACCATATTTTACCATCTCTCTATATAGTTACCATCTCTCTTATATATTTTTATATAATTTTATTTATTTATCTATTTGAAAAAATTATATTGCTCCCTACTCACAACGACTCAAGGCAGCTTACAGGAAATAAAAACACAATATAAAAGAGATAAAAATGATAAAAAAAAAATAACTCCCCACTCCCTCACCCCGGTGACAACACACACTCATACTAGCCATTTAATGGGCTCCATCCCGCTCTGGGTTCCCAAGGCCCGTTGGCAGAATCACATCTTCAGGGCCTTCCGAAAGAGTGTCAGAGTGGAAGCCAGTCTAATTTCTGCAGGGATGATGTTCCAGAGAGAGGAAGTCACCATGGAGAAGGCCCTTCTTCTGGATCCCGCCAGATGTATCTCTTTAGGGGTCGGGACCCGCAACATTCCTTGCCTTCCCACTCTAGTGGGTCAGGTAGATGTGACTGGCAAGAGACGGTCCTTCAGATAACTTGGTCCCAAGCCAGGAAGGGCTTTAAAGGTGACAACCAGCACCTTGGATTGCACCCAGAAGCAAATCAGCAACCAATGCAGCTTCCGCAGGAGAGGTGACGCATGTGCACACCGAGGATTGCCCCAAACATACAAACTATAATAATAATAATAATAATAATAATAATAATAATAATAATAATAATAATAATAATAATAATAATAGTAAAGTTGGAAGGGACCTTGGAGGTCATCGAGTCCAACTCCCTGCTCAGGCAGGAAACCGTATACCATTTCGGACAAATGGCTGTCCAGTTTCTTCTTAAAAACCTCCAGTGTTGGAGCATTCACTGCTTCTGGAGACAGGTTGTTCCACTGGTTAATTGTTCTCACTGTCAGGAAGTTTCTCCTTAGTTCTAGGTTGCTTCTCTCCTTGCAGGCCACTGCATTTTGCACCAACTGGAGCTTCCAGATGTTTTTCATAAATACATCAATATGTATTCAGCTCAAAGTGATGAATACAACAGAATAGGCTGATCTTTGAATTAGGATTCATAAGTCTGAGCGATGGGCTTATATGTTTAAAAACCAGAGACCAAACCTACTGATATCTATGAGTTCACATTTATGTCAGATAATGAGTGCATTACTTTATTACAATAGTTGATACTGAGCATCTGCAATATCATTTTCAAATTACAGCCTGTGAAAATGTCACTAAAGGCAAAATATGCTGAGCAAGTTTTGCTTCTGTGGAACTGCTTCCCTCTCCCCTGTAATGAATGAACTATACCAATAAAAACCAGGCTACTGTTTTTCAAATACTTTCATATCTGCAGATAAGTTTTAATGTACAGTGAAAACTTCTGAAAAGCACAGTCCTATATTGCCACGAGGAAAATAAGTCTAGTTGATTGTCATGGAAACTTAGCCTAAGTGGGGAAAATATTGCAGCCTTGTACTTTCTCTTGTGTGATGCTGCTAAGCATAAAATGTCGATTTCTCCCTTCCCCTGTATTAAACATGAAACATATTTCCCCAAATCAGAATGCAGCGAGCATATAAAGCATTTTTCTTGATTAGCTGTTCCTTCAAGCAGCTTTCTGCATTAAAAATGATTATTTTAATTGATTTATTTTATTTTAATTTATTGCTTATTAATTATTTGGCTCACAGCTGTTTTCTAACTCAAAGGTCCCTTTTGGCAAGAGAATTAACCTCTGTCTCGCTTTGCTCTTATATAGAAACTCTACAGAAGAGAAATCAAACCACCATTTAAACCTGCAGTTGGTCGGCCAGAGGACACTTTCCATTTTGATCCTGAATTCACATCACGGACCCCAACAGGTACTTAACCAAGGAAACATATCAGTAGATTTGCCATTAATTTTTCATTTATTTTTTAAAAAATATCAACCAAAACTAGCCAAAATATATCTATAGTTTAAAGATTACTTACCTTCCTTCCTCCCTCCCTCCCTCCCTCCCTCCCTTCCTCCCTCCCTTCCTTCCTTCCATAAAACCAGTCATCTCAAATGGGTGGGTCAATATTGAGGGGTCAATATTACCTCTGGATGTCTTACAACTTGCGAATAATAAAAATATTTTAAAACATAAGACCCACAGCAGTTGAGAATTATAAAGCACAAACAGCAATCCATATAAGCAGGAGACAGTCTCCCTCATGCACCGTGGCCCCAAGCTCAAGCATAGAAACCTGTCTCCAGAGCTTTCCAGAAGGCCAGAAGCCACAAAGCCAATTCCATCTCCAGAGGGATGATATTCCAGAGGGCAGATGCCATAATAGAAAAGGCTACCGTCCTAGGTGGTCAGCTTGACACTCCTTGGCAGACAGAACCCAGAACATGCCCCTTCTGCCTCACTAGATAGGATGGGTAGAAACAACACAGTACTAATCCTTTGTAAGTGATCATTATGACTTGATGACTCTGGGGAGTTACCTTTATATTTTCAAATTTGCTGTCGCTTCCAGAAGAATCTGTTAACCTTGTACTCACCTAGACTCACTGTTGGGATTTTATGGTGTGGCTGAATTAGAGAATTAGAATTACTACTGTGTAGTATTTTCCACAATTTCTTCCTAGTGTTTCTGGATAGCACTTGGAGTGGTCCTTCTGGAAGGACTCTCCATACTCTCTAGGATTCTGTATTACTACACAGTTACTTCCCATTAATTCTTCCCTGTATAACCTACTGGAAAATGCTTTTACATTTAAATTCTGCACTGCCACAAATCCTCAGATGGATGAAACATTGCATGCAAAGAATTGTACAAGCAGTTGTGCAGTTTGCGGGTAAAAAAAGAAAATTATGGGTAGTCTGTTTTTCTGGCATCTAAATTTGTTTAAAGCAGGGGTGTTCAATCTTGGCAACTTCAAGACTTGTGGACCTCAACTCCTAGAATTTCCCAGCCAACATGGGAGATGAAGTCCACAAGTCTTAAAGTTGCGAAGATTGGACACCCTGGCTTTAAAGGCTTTTGGCAGAAAGTCACTTGGTTCCTCTTAATTCTCCTTTTTAACAGCTGGTCTCAATATCTCAGTACATTCAGAGTTGTCACTCTGGAAATTGTGATGCAGCTTTATGTGGAAGCAAATGGAGAAGGATGCATGTCTCCATGTTGAAAATAGCATGGCTGGATTCTAGTGTCCAAATTGCTTCTTTTATAACATTGCTAGGGAAAATAATACTGGAGAAATGGTTGGAACCTTGAATCATCTCTCATCTCCTCTTCAGATTCCCCAGGTGTCCCTCCAAGTGCCAATGCTCATCATCTCTTCAGAGGATTCAGCTTTGTGGCATCCAATTTGGGGCAGGAACCTGTACAGCAAGAACCACATAAAGCCACAGTTCATCCAATTGTCCAGGTATGAACTTGGCTGTATACAGTAGTTGTTATACCTGTTTCACTTCATCTAGATGTGTTACTGTAGCATAAAAAACATTAAGAAAAACAGCTAGGATTGGAGAAATTTGCCTGTCTAACTTAGATTCAAAGGTTCTAACAAACTACACTGGGATGACTTTGAACTAGTCATTTTTTCTTAATTCACTCTACCTCATAGGCTTGTTGTGGACTAACATTGGAAGTTTATGTATCTCACTTTGAATTCCTGGAGGAAAGATGTGATATAAATTTAACAAGTAATCATCTTTTGTTGGTATCATCACCATCATATGGAAGTGAATTTCTTAATTTGGCTGTTTATTTGTGAGCAAATTATTTTATTGTCCAAATGTCCACTATTTCAGGTAATGTCTCAGTAGAAATATTCATTGCATCTAAAATCTGCTAAATAGAATCTATTAAATGGATGTTTTATTGTAGTAGTTCAAAATTTCTATAACTTGTGGAAACCCCATTTGCAAAAAATGTCAGATTTAGTCCTTTAGTTCTTCTTATACAAGCAGGGACACACAAACAAGCACTTTCATAGTTCATCATGACTTTATTACCCTAAATATAATTTGTGCTTGTCCTGCTATTTCTTTTGCTTGTGCAGTGTTTAGTATCCTCCAGATATTTTAGACAGCCACAGGCAGTAATGGCAACAGACTGTGGGATTTGCAGTAAAAATCATTGCTTTCTCCTGCTGTAGCAAAACACACATTGCCACTACTTGTCCTTTTTCCCCAAGCATTAAGTCAAATACAATTACTTTTTCTATTTCTAGAAATTAATTCAAGGCTTTTAGTCACTTGAATTGGTTGAAAGTGTTTTTCAGTATCTGTTTTTCACTCTGCTAGCTTCTTTGAGAGCTTTCTATATAAAAAGTGGGATAATAATTACAGTAATCTTCTATTATTAAATAATGTCTTATAATTTAAGGTGGTAGCAGAGAGAAAGATGGGGAAAGTGTATCATTAGCCCCCTCCCTCCAACTTGCTAGAATCCTCCCTGGGATCTTCTTTGCCTCAGTTGTCCAGGTGTGGCTGTTTAATCCAGGTGAAAGATTCTTCCTGGCAAGTAGTTGAATGAGCTGCCTCCCATCTTCTGAAATCTGGATGGGTAGAGCAGGAGATGCCCCTTGTAGGACAAGGCTTTAAAATAAATAGTTCCAGTTTTATCTTTTAATTGGGCTTGCTAAGCCCAAGCAGTTTTGGAGTATGAAGTGATTGATTATAAATTAAGTTAGAATAAAGAAAAGAATATTTTTTTTCTTCATAACAGCAGCGACGTGAGGATTTGAAAGAACAGTATCATTGCCATTTAGTTTCAAACCAAAGGTAACACTACCATGTAATTAGACTGAGAAAACAGAAAGAAACAGGGAGGCAGAGTACAGAACCAGACTTGAAATTATCCCAGATAGAATAAACTGCTACTTAAAAGAATATTCTCACAAACCTATTAAACATGTAACTTCCAGGGTTTTCTAGGTATTTCTAGTGGGTTTAGATTTATTTTAAGAGGCTGCTTTCCTTAAGGCCTCCAACGAAGGCTGAATGAGCTCAGACTAAATGCTAATTTCATTTCCATCTGAATCCTGTCCTCTACTTCATACTAGAAAGAACTGTAACTGTGTTTTGAGAATATTTGAAATCCTGAGTTACCCAGCAATCCACTCAAAATATGGAGCTCCCCCAATCCACTAAAATTATATTCTAGGAGCGTAAGAAATGATGACACCTAAAATATAAAATGTTAATAATATCAGTGCTATCTAAATGATTAAGAATAACATATACTGTCCATGTGTCAGTTTCTCATGTTTCCAGCATGAACTATTTTGTAATGTGGAAAAGAGAATTTCCCTATATCAGTACCAGAAAGTGGTACCCTAATTAAGAGCTGAATATGAGCTATACCCACTGAAGGGAAATTGTTCTGACATAAAATTACCCACAAGTATGTGACTAACACCTTTGTGTAAACAGTTTCAATTATTTCATGGAAAGATTTAGTTCCCATTATCAGCCATTTTTCACAAAGTGTCACAATACCTTAAATAAATTGCTTCCACCACCTTTTTCTGTGGTATCAGCAGTAACATATTGTGTCCTTCCTCTCCAGTCCCAGCTTGCGAAATACAACAAAGGTCAACAACCAAAAACCATATTAGCAATGAAAGCTAATATGAGAAGGAGGTTTATTTTCAGTGGTAGAGGATACCCTTTGCATGCAGAAGTTCCTAGATGAGTTTCTCTGAATGTCATATTGGCAGAAAGACAAGACATAAATCGTGAACTTCATGATTGTCATCATCATCATCTTCATCATCCAGTACATTTCCAAGGAGAACTGAAAAATCCCCAGGGAATATAGCCTGAACAGCCATTGCCAGCCAGTGAATAAATACAAAATAATAAATGCACTGAGGATGGGAAATTACTTTTTTTATTTAACGCCTTTCCTTAAAAATCATAGAATTTGCTTTTTTCACACCAGCTCAGCCAGATGGCAGCTTCTATCCTTAGAGATCAGGAAAGTGTCATTGGACAGCATAGAAATTTTAAAAACCACCCCAAAACCGATGGCAGATAAGTTTCAGGTTGTTTGCCAAGAAAACTACAGAGACATTTGTATTAAATCATCAGCAGTTGAACTCACCTTAAAGGAGGTTTAACTTCAATGGGATGTTTATTTTGGGATCAACTGTGTTGTATTTTTATACTAATATTGCTGTAGCTTTACTTAGTCGGGTTTACGTAAAAGAAAGCCAAGCATGCTAAGGATTGCAAGATCAATTGGACAGAATTAAGGCAGCACTTGTTTAATTAGCTGTTTCTCTGTGTTAATCAACTGTCTCTGAATTGCTAGTGCTAGAGAATCGTCTGAGGGAGTCAACCATAAGACTTGTCCTTTTATTGCTATTGTTTTGTTTCCCTCTGTAGCAGTTACATGGGAACAATATTCACTTTACAGATGGATATGAAATCCGGGAAGACATCGGCATTGGCTCATATTCTGTTTGCAAGAGGTGTATTCACAAAGCTACAGAAGCAGAGTTTGCAGTAAAGGTAAGGAATCACTGTGGTATGTCGGGTGATCGTCTGGCAAGGGCAACTAGTACAGGTTTTGTTGCCTTGATGCAGCAGGGCAAGAGGTTATGGGAACCAGACAGTATGAAGGAGAGTTTCGAATGTAAATGTAAGTCAACCCATGAGGGAAATGTATATGTGAATGGAGCATTCCTTTTTTTCTATTAATCTCTAGCAATCACAATTTATTTGTCATATTATGTCATTTTTTAAAAAATCTCTTGCATTTCATGTTAACTTTGACATAAGGTACAGTATCAAAAGAGAACAAAGCCTGGTCCTAACCACATGCCTATTTGGATCCAATCTCAGGAAATCCATCAAATTTATCTTTGGATTTTTAAAGTTTGCTTCTTTTCAAATGGCAAAACTGTTGCCATTTCATTTCCCCCAATAGCTCTGCAAGTATAAAAAAAATTCCAGGGCAGATCAGGTCATGTTAAATAATACAGATCTTTAGGGTATTTTAACAAGTAACTGAACACAATCCAACTTTGGCTTTATTCTTTGATCCAACTCTCATTTTGATTTGAACTAGATTATACAGTAATGACATTCATGTTGCATGTCATTACTTGTGAGATGGGCAGCCATATAAAATTGATAAATAAATAAAATCTAATTTAAAGAGTCATGAAATATTTAGATTGGAAGATGTAAAAACACAGTTGGCTGTCCAACACTGTGCTTTAAAGCTCTTGTTGAAAGCATTAGAGAGATATGCTGAGAATTGTTCTGATGGTTTTGTGACATGTGTAGCCACAAATGTTTATTTCCTAAATATTTGTTTACTTGTGCTGGTTCAGTAAAGGAAGCCAGCCAGACCGATGTTTACAGTAGAAGCAATGGATGTTCTGAGAGTCCTTTATTTTTGCTTGTTTGTTATATATACAAACATCGTTAGTTTTTGTGTGACATGACCAAAGGCACTTCTACTTGGGATTATTGGGTTTTTTTCAGATTAGTTAAATGCCCCTATATCAGCTACACCAGTTTTCTTCTAGCTCAATTTCAGCCCAGTTCAAATCACTTTTGTTTTGTTTTCTTATCTTTGGAATTCAAGTTCCATGCAGTCTGTGGTGGCTGATTTTCCATGGGTGGGAACTCTTGACACTCTGGCTCCTTCGCCACTTCAGCCACTGTGGCATACCGGTGTCCTTACCCAGAGCTTTGCAGCCAGTGATCTGCATTTTTGTTTTTGTTTTTTCCTTGTCTGAAAGTCGTAGGGCAAGAAAAGGGAGGAGACCAGAGCTCTGTTTGATGGCCAGACATGATTTTTCCTTATTTGTCAGCTGGGGAGAGCATTGGCTTAGTGTGGTGGTTTCATTCTTGCAATGCCTGTAGTTAAAACTAACAATGAACTGTTGCAAGACTGTTTCTGAGGGTTTGAGAAGTGCTGAAAGAGTGATAAAAGTGCCTATGAGAAACTCCCCGTTTATATGCTTGCAAAAAATATTGTCTGCAACTAATTAACAAAATAAAATAGGAACGGACTTGGAGAAGTTGCCTTTCCTTGGAAGAGTTATTAATTACCAAAGGGCGCAGGATTCACTTTTCTGAATCCGGCCACAGAGCACTTTTGATCAAAATGTTTCCCATTATAGTAAATAGGGATCTTTTTTCAAACCTGATTTTACTTATGGAATAATTTGGGAAGTGAGCTAACCGTTGGGATATAAAAGATTACAAGCCCCCCCCCCCCAAGTATTCTGTGCCACCTGAAATCCACTCGTGGGAATTAGGCTTTTTGAAGCCTGCATGCTGTTCTAGATGGGGACAAAGTCACTTGTGTAAGAGAGAATGAATGAGTGGATATACAGTAAATGAGATGAAATGTCTGTATAATTGTGCATAAATGCGGGAGGGATTTTACAACAGATTGGAGAAGGCTTACTATAGTCATAGTCGTATGGACAAACAGGAGGACAAATTCTCATGTTACAACTGGCTGCTGATTACTTCTTTTGCTAGTACATGCTGGTAGCATGCTTCTTTGAACAGTATAACAGATGGAATACAACAAATGCAGAGAACTTGTCAAATCCTGGCTGATGTTTTCCATCATTCATCTAACTGGAATAATTCTAGGAACTGGGGTGGGGGGCAGGGGGAGAGAGGCTTAATTACATGAAAAGACCCTCAGAATAAATTATCATCCTTTCCCATTTCACCTTTCTCCCCATACTTCTACGGCTATGATCTGCTGTGCTAGCAAATGTACTTCTGCCTTAAGATTAACATACTACCATTATTTAAATTTATTATTTTGTCATGAGATAAAATAACCAGTTTGAACTGGCAGGTTTCATACTGAACCACTACACTTACATTTCCTAAGCATGCTGCTGAAATATTTGAATAAATAATAACAAGAATTTCCTTGAACATATGCCAAGAATGTGTCTGTTGCTACCAGTGAAGAGCCACAATACAATTCTCTCTCTTATACGGAGAAACATTGTTATGTTTAATAGACAAGGGGAAATGGCTCCAAGTTATAAGTGTTGTGTGTTCTGTATATTTATATTGTAAGCATGTTGATAGGAATGAATACTTTTTAAAAAATATTCATTTCTATAGATTTTTGTCTACATTTTTTATAAGTGAGCAATTTGAATGCATCTTCTTGTTTTCCCCTGATGTGCATTTTTGCATAGATCTTTTCTCATTTATTTTTGTGTATCATTTTTTTCCTCTTGAAAAGATTCATCACAGATGAATATTAGTCTTGTGCCTACCAAACTCTTTCTGCCTGTTAAGACTTTGACTGTGGAAACTCTGCACTCCTCTGGGTGATATTTTAAAAGTTTCTAGAACAAAAAAGACATTATATAGCATTTCCACACGGAAGGACTTGAAAAACCATCACAGTTTTGTTCAACCCAATGAAAAATGTTTAATTGAGTTAATTAAATGCATCAGCATACACAAACTTTGAACGCTAACAACGATTTAGTTGAAGGTTAAATATGTGAATGCTGCCAATTAATGGTAGACAGAATCAGAAATATACTTTATACAGTAAGCCATACTGCTTAAAATATTACTAGTTTATTTCTTCTTTTTCTCTAAAACAATAAATCTAATTTTATGGATGATGTTACTGTCCAGTGAATGAATCACCAAAGTTAATCAAGCATAACTTCAAGATAATTCAAAATCATAGAAACAACTACAGTCAGTAATCTCTCTCCTTCAAGACATCTTGAAACAGTAATTACAAATTCCCCTAAAATAATGCTAATCATTAGTGTTGGACACACTTCAAAAATAATGTAAAAGAAATACTTCAGACTCATGCAAGCACAAATAAAGCATCTCTCTGCTAATTATTAAAGCAGCCCATCTTCTGCATGAGTGAAAACTCATGTTGCTGTTTTAAGAAGTTTCACAAAAAGTAATGCAACTCTTAAGCAGCTGCAATGTTTTTCAGCCTCACACAGAGCCCTAAAAACTCAGTCTGCTTTATTGAATTGCTTATATAAAGTGTAAAGCATGCACAGCCCTCCTGACACCTCAGAGGTAATTATGTTTGTGTACTTGGGCACTTGCCAATGTGACATTTTGATCAGATGAAAAAACAACAAAACTGTGCAGTTCCCATTAGCAAAACATTCCAACTATTTTTCCTTGATACTGAAAAAAACTTTGAAGATGAATTAATTAAAGATGGAATAATTCACAGAAATTATAGATTATTTTGTCCTGCCATTAACGCACTTCGCTTTGCAAGCAAATTATGTGACAGTGGACAGGATCTGCTACTATGTCAAAGATGAATCTGCCAACACTGAGTTAGACCCTAAATGATAGGGCATCCACATCTCAAAATCTTTAAGATGGTTGGTGTGACATCACCACTGAAGCCCATGTTCCTTTTACAGATGCACATGTGACAACAAAATTATTCTTTAATTGCATCCACCAGGATGCAATTGGTCACCAGGATGTAAAAAAGATGTTGAGACTCTAGAAAGAGTACAGAGAAGAGCAACAAAGATGATTAGGGGACTGGAGGCTAAAGCATATAAGGAACGGCTGCTGGAATTGGGTATGTCTAGTTTAATGAAGAGAAGGACGAGGGGGGACATGATAGCAGTGTTCCAATATCTCAGGGGCTGCCACAAAGAAGAGGGAGTCAAGCTNAATGGGTGGAAGCTAACCAAAGAAAGAAGCAACCTAGAACTAAGGAGAAACTTCCTGACGGTTAGAACAATTAACCAGTGGAACAACCTGCCTCCAGAAGCGGTGAATGCGCCAACACTGGAAGTTTTAAAGAAGAAACTGGACAGCCATTTGTCCGAAATGGTATAGGGTTTCCTGCCTGAGCAGGGGGTTGGACTAGATGACCTCCAAGGTCCCTTCCAACTTTATCATCATCATCATCATCATTTTTATTATTATTATTATTATCTTGCAGATTTTGACACACACTTCCATGTCTGTAACTCACATTATGTTCTCCCTACATAATTCTGCTACTTCTTCCAGCTACAGCTATATTACCGAGCCTGCTGGCTTAACAGAAAAGTATAATAAAGAAGAGGGTATGAAAATGCAGAATTAGTGAAATTCTATTTACAAACAGTTTTACTCTAAAGCAGAGGGCAACAGTTTGAGCCCCAATGATTTCCTTTTCAGGTACAAATACTGCATACTCAACTGAGGCAAGAAACACATACAAACCATAATAAAGGAGCTTTTCCCTGGGCATAGTTAGAATGTAATTTGGAGGTTCTCCTGGACTTGTAGGACTGGCTCAAGGAGAAGATGGTAGCCATGACTAGGGGGCCTTTGCACAAATGTATCCTGTGCGCCAATTCTCTGGCGATGAGCTCTTGCTCATAGTCATTCATACCCTGGTCACTTCCTGATTGGATTACTACAGTCCACTCTACATGAGGCTGCTCTTGAAGGCTATCCAGGAGTTGCAGCTAATCCAGAATGCAGTAGTGCATGCAGTTCTAGGCACCTGGAATTTGCCTATATTACACTACTGTTACCCATTACCTTTACAGCCCTTGGGTTGTTTTCAGTCCTGCCTCTCCCTGAGGGTATCTGCCCATCTCGCCAGGCTAGATAGGTGGGCGTGCTCTACGTTCCTTCTCTTAAAAGTTATCTGATAAGACCTCGATTGGATTTCAAGGCAAAAGTAGCGGTCTTTCCATTTACATTCTAATTCAATCAGTAAAATAAAATTTTAATAGAGTCTTGCATTTGATAATTCTCCCTTTTTTGTCACATTGTAAATTACAATTTTGGAAGGACACTCTGAGGCTGCACTCAAGGCTTTCAGTGGCTCTGGAGCTCAGGTGCATCTGATTCTAGCTTCACCAGTGACAATATAAGACTGCCCTTTTGTTGTTATGAGTCCCCTGGCTTCTCTTCATTGTCAGAATCAGGAAATGAGTTCTTTTTCTGTCTCTTGTTGCTATTGTTTAACTGTTTCCCAAAATCTGTTCATTAATATATATTGCTGTTTAATTTTAGCATAACATAATCTATGCATAGCTTTTCTTTCAAATGCACAGATGAGACTTCCTCTCTTTGAATTTTCTCTGTTCTCCATTTCTCCCTTAGATAATTGATAAGAGCAAAAGAGACCCTTCAGAAGAAATTGAGATTCTTCTGAGATATGGACAGCACCCAAACATTATTACACTCAAAGATGTGAGTAGTTGTTCAGTTTACATATTTCTTGTGCATATCTCCTTGTGAGTAAGCTGATCTATAAGAAATGTTTTTTAGGGAAATCTGTATGATACCCATTCCAACAATCTTGTGGGAATCTGTGCTGTATCATTGGGTTTAGAAGGTGTATTAATAAATTCGCAATAACCTTTTTATTATTTAATTACAATTATGTTGAATTCTGACATTGGATCAGAATGTAAAAAATTAAATAACTACAAAGACCTTGTTGATATATTTTTTTAATGGAGGCAGCACCCTTATGTATAGTGCCCTTACACAAAGGTTTTCCATTTTACAAAATGGTGAGGATTGCTCTAATAACAACCAATAAGCAAATGTTGCAAAAAATTAGAAATCACCATTCTTTTAGGGAGCTTCATGCTTTTTTTAAAAAAAAATATTTTTCATACAAGTAACGCAAATAAAATGATATAATAAGTCTCTCCTCTTTGTAATTATTTTTGGAAGTATGAGAGTTGAATAAAAAGTAATGTCTTCAATGTTATAAGTTGCCTACAACAGATGGCAAAACTGACACACTAGAAGCTCTAATATATTCTTTAGCATCTAGTCATTCATTTGGAAATTATTGTGAGAATAAGTTGTGTTGCTATTATTTCTCAAACGGAAGTCTACAATGAGTACTCATCAGTGCACTTTAAGCCACGCACTATGATTGACATTTCTGACTGCCACGGAGTCCCTCCAGTTGAAATTCACCTTCGAATGCAGGTTGTTTATGGTGACAATTGTGATGATGTGAGTAGTGTGCGTTGCTAGGTCAAAAAATGTAAAAACATTGAACCAGAAGAGGTTTGACCTGAGATACCAACCAATGAGTTAAATCTCAGAAGAGTTGATGAACTGATTAAGGGCACTTGGGTCACCCAAAGGAAAGTTGCAGTCATGCTTGGCATATCTCAGGAAGATGTGAGTTACATTAATGATCTTCAGTATCAGAAGATTTGTGCAAAAATGGTTTCTTCATATGTTGACTGCAGAGATGAAAGCTTCAAGTCTTAAACTTTACCACCAGTTTGTCAGGCTATGAAATAAAAGTGGCCAATGAAATATGTGCTCATCATTACCGAGAAATGAAGCATCAGTCCATGAAATATCATCACAAAGCTTCACCTATGGGGGGGGGGAATTAAACCTTGGGCTTTGGCAATAAAACTTGTGGTTATGGTTTTGGGGTATACAGATCGGGTTATTCAGAAGGATTTTCTTGAACTTGATACCAGTGTCAAATCAGAGCAATACACCACATAATTCAAAACGTTGAAACAGTGATTAAAACAGAGTTCAGAATCACAAGAAAGAGATTTTATTGCAACATGACAATACTGTACCTCACATTTCATGAGCCACCTGAGGGGCAACTGTGAAATTAGATTTCAGTGTATTACCCTATCCACTATGTAGTCCAGACTTGGCATCATTGGACTTCCACTTTCCCCCCTAACCGAAGCAATATCTACATGGACATTATTGTAATCAAATGAAAATATGGAAAGGACCTTGAGGACTTGGTTGAAGGGATAAAATATGGAGTTCTTTCATATGACAGCTTCAAGAAGCTTGTGCATCATCGGCAGAGGTGTGTAGCAAACAGTGGTAATTTTGTGGAGAAGTAAATGCAGGTAACAGAAGAACTCATTTCAAGGATTATTTACTTGTTTCATTTATTAAATTATCCCTACTTCAAAGTTATGGAAGAGGAGACATAATTTTTCATTCCACTGTCATACAATAAAATGATCAGATATATAGGTAAATAAACACTTGATGATGATACCAAGTTCACCTTTTCTATAGAGAACATCACATCTTCAAGGCTGCCCTGCAACATGTAATTTCTCTTGACCTCCCTATATTCATATATCAACAGCAACAAATAATGATTTGAACCTCCTTTATTTAAAAACCAGGGCCAGGCAGCTAGGCTGGGATATACATGGCTAGGTTCATCTAGTTCAACCACACTTGCCTGTTTAGCTCATTACTTTATAATCAGGAGTATGCAATCAGGGCAGGCATGTTAGTGCCATCTAGTGATTGGGTCTTCAGTTGAAATTATCCCCAAACAATATGATCAATGGTAAGAATTGACAGAGTTGTTCAAACATCTGAAAAAGACCAAGTTGTGTATTCCTGATTATATTAAGCTGAAGAGTATAACAAACCATTCACGAAAATAATATTTGTTATGGAATTTGTTTTATATTCCTTTCTATATCCTACATTAGACATGTCAAACTCATGACGTCACATGACATCGCGCCACGTATTGGGCCGGTTTTGCCATTGCAGGCAATGGGGTGGGCGCGGCTTCTGGATGATGCGTCCGGCCCGTGGGCCGGCAGTTTGACACCCCTGTCCTACATCTTTCTGTTTTACTTCTAGAACGATAAGCAAATGTTGCAAAAAAAAAATTGCAGGTCAATAAAATGTTGATGTTAATTAAAATGTGGGTAACTTGAGTTAATGTAACCACCTGCATTAAGAACTATGGCCACTTGATTTCCCATCAAGCCAATGCCTGTTTGACTCCTGGAAATCAGAAAAAGAACAAGTGGTTTTTCTTATTTTATTTGTGCACAATAAGATAAGGCAGGTGGTCCTCAACTTATGACCACAGTTGAGCCCAAAATTTCTGGGGCTAAGCAAGACAGTTTTTAAGCGAGTTTTGCCCCGTTTTATTACCTTTCTTGCCACAGTTGTTAAGTGAATCTGGCTTCCCCATTGACTTTGCTTGACAGAAGATTGCAAAAAGTGATCATGTGACCCTGGGACACTGCAACCATCATAAATACATGCCAGTTGCCAAGCATACAAATTTTGATCACGTGGCAATGGGGATACTGCAGTGATCAACAGTGCAAAAAATAAGTGTTGAAAAACTTTCATAAGTCACTTTTTTCAATAAATGGACACTAAATGAATGTCTGTTGGTCAAGGACTACCTGTATGAGGTTTTAGTGCATTTAAGGTTTACGGAGCAAGTACTTGATGACTTTTCTGCATGCATGTACAGGTCTATGATGATGGAAAATTTGTATACCTTGTAATGGAGCTGATGCGAGGAGGAGAACTCTTAGATCGAATCCTTCGACAGAAATGCTTCTCAGAACGAGAGACTAGTGCCGTTCTCTGTACCATTAGCAAAACTGTGGACTATCTGCATTCCCAGGGTGTGAGTATACCAGTTCTTCCGTATCCAATCAACTTTCTAAAAATATTACTTCATGTCATTAAAATATTGACTCGTGGAAGGTATATATCATCTCCCTCACAGAGACAAAATCCACAATGAAAATGAACGTGGCGTGTGATTCATTTATATTCATTCATAGTGAAAAATGGAAGACTGCAAGATAGAATAGAATGGCATAGAACAGAAGTATGATCTCTTATAATAAAGATCAAATGCCTGCAGCACATCCTTCAAATAGAAGATTTAATTGTTATTACCTTTCTAGTTGCAGAAATGAGCCAAATTACTGGCAAATTACAGCTTCTCAATTATCAACTGCTCCCAATCAGATTTGCCGCATGTAATTTACTGGAAACGATTAATATCTCAGAAAGATAGAGATAAATATAAAATTAATTAAGTTCCTCTGGTTTGTTATTAAAATGTATCCTCTTCTCTGTTTCTATGTGGTAATGTCAATATTTATCAAAGCATGGAACTAAATGTCCAGAAGACACTTCTAGAATTAACTAATAATTTTCAAAGAATTGCAGCTGGGGACAAATCATTTACTATTACAGCAATTTGGGTTTAGATAACACACAGTGTTTCAACTTTATTTTCAGGTTGTACATCGAGATCTGAAGCCTAGTAATATTTTGTACATGGACGAATCAGGGAACCCAGAGTCGATCAGAATGTGTGATTTTGGATTTGCCAAACAACTGAGAGCTGAGAATGGTTTACTAATGACACCATGTTACACAGCCAATTTTGTAGCACCTGAGGTATGGAAATTTAAAAAGTCCACATGATGGTCACTATTTCCATTATGGGCAATATCCAGGAGTTGCCTTTGATATTTATACAATCACTTTCTGGAGAGTGATTTCAAGAGCGTTAGATTTGGAGACAGGTGGCACAGCACCTGACCATTTTTTCTGAGCTCAGAAGGTAAGTGGGTTAAGGTTTGGCTAGCATTTTGATGGGAAGCCACCAGGAAATATGAAGTCTGAATTGGAAAATTGAGAAAAACTCAGAATAAGACAATAGCAAACACTTCTATACTGTGGCAAAATAACTTCATGGACAGGTCCAGGAAATTGCAAGGAGTCAAGCTCAACTTGAAGGAGATTTTATTTTATCACATTGTTCATTGGAAAATGCTGTAATGCCTACAAAGAAAAAACAACACTAAAAACACAAAGGGGGAATCCATCATTTTAATCCCTCATATGTTCAATTCAGTCTCGTTCATTCTATCATAGTTTCAAAAGAGTAATTGAGGACAGAAACAGCAATTTCTTATTAAAGAATTGGAGATCACCCTCATGCAAATTACTGTACCAAAGCTCAGATTACTTTTCAGAACCATATTTGCATATAACCTTTTCATTTTCAGAATGTTGTTGAAGGGGAACCAGCAGAGTAGCTCCAGATGTTCTTGAATTACATATTTATTATTGGTCTTTTTCTGACTGTCTTCAGAATGTATTTAGAATGCTGAAGACATTAATATTCCAAGTGGACTATTTTCACCTAGAGGTGATCATTTCTTTGCTAGTCCCAAATGGACCTATTTCTGGAATTTGGTGTTAACAGTTCATACCATTCTTTATGGCTATGGTATCTTTATGGTTTTATTTTTGAATTAGAGGATGACATCTGGAGATATATATATATATTCAGTGTCATGGGACTGATATATGATATAGATAGTCCTCAAGTTATGACTTTAATAGAACCTGCCCACCTTGGTCATAAGTCATACCAATTGTAAATCGGGTCATTCATGTGACTGATCTGATTTTACAAACTTTTTTGCAGCAGTCGCTAAAAGAACGAATGGTTTGCTGTGGGCTGGTTTTGCTGAAAAACAGAAGTAACCGCTGGTTTTCAGCAAAACTCACAAAACGTGGTTATGTGATTGCAGGATGCAGCAAACGGATAATTGCAAAGCAGTGTGCAGTTATGTGATTGGGGGAGGGGGGAGGTATCAGACATCAGAACTTCAGAACCAGGTCATAAGTACCAAAGAAGGTCCACTGTAACTTGGAATAATTGCTAAGTAATAATAATAATAATAATAATAATAATAGTAATAGTAATAGTAATAGTAATAATAGTAATAATAGTAATAATAATAATGAAGTTGGAAGGGACCTTGGAGGTCATCTAGTCCAACCCCCTGCTCAGGCAAGAAACCCTATACCATTTCAAACAAATGGCTGTCCAGTCTCTTCTTAAAAACTTCCAGTGTTGGAGCATTCACCACTTCTGGAGGCAGGTTGTTCCACTGGTTAATTGTTCTAACTGTCAGGAAGTTTCTCCTTAGTTCTAGGTTGCTTCTCTCCTTGATTAGTTTCCACCCGTTGCTTCTTGTCCTGCCTTCAGGCGCCTTGGAAAATAGCTTGACTCCCTCTTCTTTGTGGCAGCCCCTGAGATATTGGAACTCTGCTATCATGTCCCCCCTCGTCCTTCTCTTCGTTAAACTAGACATACCCAATTCCAGCAGCCTTTCCTTATATGCTTTGGCCTCCAGTCCCCTAATCATCTTTGTTGCTCTTCTCTGTACTCTTTCTAGAGTCTCGGCATCTTTTTTACATCGTGGTGACCAAAATTGGATGCAGTATTCCAAGTGTGGCCTTACTAAGGCATTGTAAAGTAGTATTAATACTTCACATGATCTTGATTCTATCCCTCTGTTAATGCAGCCCAGCACTGTGTTGGCTTTTTTGGCAGCTGCAGCACACTGCTGGCTCATATTTAAATGATTGTCCACTAGGACTCCGAGATCCCTCTCACAGTTACTACTACTAAGCAAGGTACCCCCTATACTATACCTGTACATTTGGTTTTTCTTGCCTAAATGTAGAACCTTACTTTTTTCACCATTGAATTTCATTTTGTTAGATAGCGCCCAGTGTTTAAGTCTGTCCAGATCCTCCTGTATCCTAAGCCTGTCTTCTGGAGTGTTGGCCATTCCTGCCAGCTTGGTGTCATCTGAAAAAATTGATGATTTCCCCATCTATCCCCTCGTCCAGATCGTTGATGAAGATGTTGAAGAGCACTGGGCCCAGAACAGAGCCCTGGGGCACCTAGTAAACATATCTTCATAATCCAGTATAAATGTTCATAGATAAACCAACTGAATGAAATTTCAGGGGAGAAGGCAGTTTTAAGGCAAACTGCTTCCTTTCTCTTTCCTTTGAAAACATAAACTTTGCAGGAACCTCATTTGCTGTTAATGCTATTTCGCTTAATCTCCAATTTTTTTCAGTCCAAAATTCAACATCTGTTACTGCCATATTAAATACTTTCTCAATTGTACAAGTTATTTAAAAAGCAGTTTCATGCTTGTTTCCATAACAATTTTTAGTTTTGAACCCTTAATTATATTGAATGGTAGATAAATCAGTTATATATTTAGTGGTAATGATAGCGCAGAACATTATGAATGGTTAAAGATATCTAGAGAAGAACTGACCTGCCATCTAGTGGAAGCATTTTGGCAGGTAAAAAAAATAGCTTCATATTTCATAAGCTCTGATCATTGTCAGTAGGTAAATTTAATCACATAATAGCTTTTATTTGCTCCATTTGTTACTGAGGTCTGGGTGAAAATCATTTGTTCTCTTCAGGGGCACATTCATGAATCTATATTTTATTTACAAAATCTCATTAGATAGCTCTGAAAGGTACTAGATTAAAACTAAGATAGGAAAATTCGTATCAATCTTCATAAAAGCCCAAATCTTGTTATTGTCTTAATCATTTATAAAACATAATTGAGTATTCCTATTCCACATGCTAATTCTAAGGAGTAGCATGTGGGATTTTGCATACCTGTGGCATTTCCCAAAAGTGTAAATGGATTGCTGATCAAAAGACTAAAAGTTGTGGGACTAAGGGGGGCGGGGGGGTTGTAAGCAATCAGAACTTCAGAACCAGGAATAATTTTTGCGCAATACTGGAAGAATGAAGGACTGCCATCAGAAGAAGAAATAATCGGGAAAATATTGGAATGTGCAGAGATGGACAGATTAACTATGAGGTTGAAAGATAAAGAAGATACAGACTACTATCAAATTTGGAACCTATTTTATTCTTGGCTAGAGGAAAGAATGAAGGATTAGGAATTGAACATGTATTAGCTTAGCAAACTCCAGACAACTTGTTGATTGGAAAAATTAACATATGTTGATGAAAAAAAAACACCAATAAAATCTTTATATATAAAAAAAAGAACTTCAGAACCAGGTTGTAAGTACCAAAGAAGATCTGTTGTAACTTTGAGCAAAATCTGAGAAGTGCAGTTCAGTTTTATGCCAGGCAGGGAATGTGCAGACCTGAATTTTCTTCTTCAGATAATCTTTGAAAAATGTGTAAGTGCAAGGAAAAAAAATATATTGAACAAGTTTTTGATTTAGGGAGGAATTTTGATTTTAATGGAGGAATTTTAAGACATGTAAATTTAGTAGATAGCTCTTGGTTGTATGTGGTCTGGAGAATAAAGTTAAAAGCAGCAAAAATGGCTGTATATAAGAACATTTTTACCCTATGGTTATTTAGAGGTGAGACTTTGGTATGTCAGAAACATTAAAGTAAACTGGATACTGTAGGAATAGATTAATTTAAAAAAAAACTATTTGTAGTAAAAGAAGAAGTGATAGGGGCAGGAATAAATGAACACCAAACAAATGTATATGGAATACAGAAATGAAAGAAGTTTATTGAATTGGTTTGATTAGAGAGAGAAAAAGAACAAGGGTCTAATTGCAGAATAATTATATGAACGAAGAGTGAATGGGTCAAGAGGAAAGGGAAGATTGTGAATGTTGTCCTTGGATAGAATTATAAGGCTGGAAGAAATGTCAGAGGTCTTCTAGTTCAACCCCCTGCTCAAGACAGGAGCCTTATATCATCCCAGTCTATTTTTGAAAATCTCCAATAATAAGATTCTCAAAAAGAGATAAATGAGATATTTAAAGATCAAAAGGTGATAGATGTAACGAAGGCGCAAATGATTTATTAGACTAGGAAGGTACAAAGACATACAGTGTAAACTAAATTTACCTTTAATTTCTTTTACTATTTCTTCTTTTTGCACTCTGCATTATGTTATTTACTCTGAATAAAATGGCAAGATAGGCAGCCTGCCATTTGGGTTAAAATAAGAAAGTTATCAGGGAAGTTGCCAGACACACCCTAAATTAAGAAATAACAATGTATTCAGTGTAATAGTACTTCTTCCACACGAAGGTTGTAAAAGACAAAAATGGGAGGTGTTTTTCCCAGTTTCAGGTTTAAAACACACACACACACACACACATACACACACAAACAAATGCATGGCAGAATACTTTAATGAAATATATACTGGACAAACTGAGTGAGTGAAAGTCAATCAGTGAAATATGCTTTGATCCTTTTGTTTGCTTACTTACATGATTACATTGCCTAGCTCCAGATGACTTCTGGCTTTTGACATAAAACATAAGGGAGAATAAAAACATTACAGTTAATACAGTCACCGACACAGTCAGTCATAATTACCTAGTATAAGTCCCAAATCTCCACTGAAGCAAATCAGTTTTGCCACTTTGCATTAAGCTAATAGTCAATATACAAGGTGAACTCCATTGGCAAATTGCTCCTAAGCATTTTAGAGAAGGAGTGCCTTTGAGTCCATGTCCCCCCCAAATTTTTGTAGGGATGATCTTCCTTCTGCATTCTCACAGGGACTATGCAAATTCCACTTGGAGGAGATGATCCCTAAAGCACCCTAGAACCAAGCCAGGAATAGCTTCAAAGTTTAAAACCAAAACTTTGAATTGGACCCAGGGTTTATTGGCGTGAGGGAACACATGCCTAAATGTGAAGCAAGCAACAATTAAGTCTTCAGCAACTCTCAAAAGCAGTAAAATATAATATACTTACATTTCCTTTCTGTAGGTCCTGAAACGGCAGGGTTATGATGCAGCCTGTGATATCTGGAGTTTGGGGATTTTGTTGTATACCATGTTAGCAGGGTAAGTCCAAACAGTTTGTAATATCTGTAGCCTGGTCGTTCTTGGAGGTCAGTAAAGAAAAACAAAAGCAACATAAAGACAGAAACACAATCTAGACCAGGGGTCTTCAAACTTGGCCCTTTTATGACTTGTGGACTTCAATTCCCTGAATTCCTCAGCCAGCATGCCTAGTAAATACCGCTTGAATTATTTAGCTGAGTGCTAAAGATTCATATGACTGAAATTGTCAGGGTTGTTACAGGCAAGTTAAGGCATATTATTTGCAGTTGTTTATTCCAGTTGATGTCCATTTTGAAATGGCTGTGTTTTGAAATTAAAAAAAGTAAATATGTTTATCAAAATATGTAGATTTTATAGAGAAAATGTACACTTTGTTTGATGACCATCGAATTGTGATATATTAGTATTATAAAACCTTTCATAATGGAAGGTTTTATAATGCTCTTTAAGTGTTGCTTTGTGTCACAAAAGAAAAAAAGGTCATATTATAGGAATATAATCCAATTCTGCTCATGTTTTTTTTTAGAACTTCACGTTTTGGCTTTTAGACATATTTTTATCATAAAAAATAACAATGTTTTTTAAGAAGCTAAAATCTAGGACTGATTTACCTTATAGACAAAATATGCTTATTTTTGTGATACTGTAGTATGGAAGATTTAAAAACCTGATTAGAAATGAAAAAGAGGAGAAAAATGCCTGGACCAGAATTGTTTAAAGCAGGGGTCTTCAAACTTGGCCCTTTTATGACTTGTGGACTTCAATTCCCAGAATTCCTCAGCCAGGCATTAGGAATTGGGGCTCTACACATAAAGAGCACAGCATTAAGGAAGGCTTTTTGTATGCAAGTCAGAAGTATTATGCTTTGATCATGCTGCTACATCTGTTTCACATATTATTTGTTGCTTAACAGATTCACCCCTTTTGCAAATGGACCAGATGATACCCCAGAGGAAATTCTGGCTAGAATTGGCAGCGGAAAGTATGCTCTAGCAGGAGGGAACTGGGATTCCATATCTGATGCTGCAAAGGTAAAATAATGCTTCATAATACGTTGCTTGTGATTGTTATCCATTTATTTTGCTTGTGTTGCTCATGATTACCCTCCATTTATTTAAAATGAATGCATATAAAATGAACAATAAATGCAGCAGTTTCTTAAAAACTCCAATGGCAACTATATGAATATGCAAAATTACATCTTGTAAGTGGGAATGCCTCAGTAAGGACTGTCATATTTGCAATTTTTCTGATTATCCATAAAAGTAGAGCAATTAACTGAAATGATTAAAGATTAATCCCAATATTGATATGCATTATATCTAAAATGCCTGCTTGATGTCATGTATTGCACAGATGCCATGTTTTGTAGCATTATTACAATAGGTTGGAAACAATCACAGCAGGGCAGCAATATGTGGCTTAGGTTTTCTTTAAATTAGAACTAAATAATAGAATAGAGCTGGAAGGAACCTTGGAGGTCTTCTAGTCCAGCCCCTCTCCCCCCCTGCGCTTAAGCAGGAGAACCTGTTCCATCCCAGACAAATGAATGACTTGACTATGTTTAGCTTCATTTCAGTATCTTACAGCTTTCTAGGTTTCTAAACTTCAATGCAGTTCAGAATTAGTATAGACAAAGAAAAAAGCAGAATGATCTGGTTCAATCTATTTTCTTTTCTTCCACTTTGGTAAAAGTAAACACTGAATCAGGTCAAAGTCTAATTTATCAAGCAGTTTGTTTTCAGCAATGAATGGTCAGATGCTGTTGTGAATCTACATGAAGTTCGTTATCCTATGTTTTTGATATTTGAGGAATTTGATAATTGCAGATTTTGGCACAAATTCTATGAATTTGCATGTTTCAAATAAATGTACTGTATACATCAAAATTTACAAGTCTTATATAGTACATCCAAAGTAATTCTCAATGAATTCAATGAGGCTTGTTCTCACATTAATGAATATAGGATTGCCACCTCTGGTTAGTGATCCAGCAGTTACCACAATCGTGAATACTTTAACACAGTTCCTGACTCTTTATCCTTAGTGTTAAAGTAATTTGAAAATACACTTTTAGAGAGAAATTATGACTAGCAGTACACTTAGTCCTCATTTAATTACCATAATTGGAACCAGCAACTTGGTCATTAAGCGAAGTGATCACTAAGTGAGAAATCACATGACCATAATTGTCCTTACAATTTTATTTATTTTATTTTTATTTTTTTGCTTTACAAAATTAGTAGGATATGACTCCAAATAGTAGAGTAAGCTCAAACAGTTGGGAAGATTTCTGGAATTTGATTTATGAGGAAGCTGGGTAAAAGAGTGAATCTTATAGTCCTTTTTCCTCAATTCGCACACCCTTTGGAATGCTGACCCCAGGGCTAGGATAATTAGCAAGAAGAGAATTAATACATTCCTTGTAGAGAGAGGGATTACAAGAGAATAAGCAGGCAAACAATGGGGAATACACATCAGAAGCAATGCGCTAGTGTTAACTGCTTTCTTTACTGCAGCTGCTTTGAAGACAAAAATTCTTCACTGTGAAATTGATTAGGGTCTTGTCTCTGTCAGTCAGCAGCACCAATGGGCTGGAGGAGTCTAATCAATTAAGATCATAGAGTTAAGCTTGTTACCTAACTTGTAGTTAGCATTTTTAAGGGGCATATTGCACCATGGAGAAAAGCAGCTTAGGAAGAGATACTATAGCTTATTTGAGCAATATCTCCACTGTATGTGAAGAGGTGGGGACAGGTCAAACACAGGACAATACATTCTAACTAACTGCAATGGCCAAAACGTGTTAGAAAAAAATCAGGTTATAAATGCAGGCATACAGTAAGTCACAAAATTATTTTTTCATCACTGTTGTAACTTTAAACAATCTCTGTCCAAGGCAGTAGCTAAATGAGGGCTACTGTACTTATATATATTTCAATTCAAATTAGAGTTATGGATGGGCAGGGACAAATGCGATACATATCACAAATAAATTTAATTCTTCAAACCTTCCTTCCTTTCCTTCCTTCCTTCCTTGTTGATTCCTGGTGATTGTCTGTACTACTCACTGCAATTAGCTCCACAAAATTTCAGACATGGTTTGTCATTCTCTCTTTCTTAGTGCTAAGAGAGAGTGACTGGCCCAAAGTCACCCAGCTGCTTTATACATAAGGCAGGATTGAACTCATAATTTCTTAATTTCCAGCCTAGTGCATTAAGCACTACACCATACTGGCTTCCTATCTCATCTTAATAAATATATCCTATTTATTATTAAAGTAGCTGAAAATACATTGAGAGGTTAAAACAATTCTTTTGTAGGCATGGCAAAACCCAAGTCAGAACAATAATTGCAACCCAAGCCCCATGAATACTCTTTAGCTCCATTGTCCAAGAAATCAGAATTAAGGTTTCTTTTCTTATGAATACAGTTTTAATATAATATTCTGATAGGAACATTTTGTCCTTGAGGTCCTGAAGCGTTTGCTTCTCTCTTTCCTCCCCACATCAGAAGAATTTCATTACCTTGAAAGGATGTAGACTAATTGTTATAGGCTGACTTCTTAAGCCATTTTCCATTCTTCTATACCAGAAATCATAATCCTAATTATCCAGAGTGGTTATTATTCTTAGTAAAATAACATTAATGTAATCTTCTCTATATCATTTTTTTGCAGGATATTGTATCAAAAATGCTTCATGTAGATCCTCATCAGCGCTTAACAGCAGCCCAAGTTTTAAGGCATCCATGGATAGTAAACAGGGAGTATCTCTCCCAGAATCAACTCAGCAGACAAGATGTTCATCTTGTAAAGGTATGTCTAAATGCTGCCACTTCTTAGACATAGAAAACTTGGTGGTAGTCTCATAAGATGCTAAAATAATTAACCTGATTTTACATACAATCAGAATCAGCCACATTATTTCATTGTGGACTAGAATTTTTAATTCCCTCCTCCCCTCAAAGATCTCAAAAAAATTTTTTTTAAAAAAATACCCTACTTCTTACAATGTCACCTGTCCTATATTCATGCAATCTTGTGAGAAAATGCCAATAATATCTGTCAAGATGGGTCTTAGTGTAAAGCTGAGGTGAACTCCCACAATCTGCTGACCTCAAAAATCATTTTTGAGGGGGAACCAGGTCACAGTAATCATGCAGTGATGTTCAGATTCTAAAAAGTTGCAGATCTCTGTCATGAATTATTTGTCAGTAAGATTAATGAACTGGTAGGAAGGAGGGTACAGTGGCCTAGCTGTTAAGATGCTGGGCATGTCGATCGGAAGTTTGGCAGTTTGAGAACAGAAGCACAACATGACGGGGTGAGCTCCCAATCCTGCCCCAGCTCCTGCCAGCCTGGCAGTTTGAAATCATGCAAATGCAAGTAGATAAATAGGTACCATTTCGGTGGGAAGGTAACAGCATTCCATGTGTCTCGGTGTATAATCATGCTGGGCACGTGATCATGTAAGCCTCTTCTGACAACACTGGCTCCCTCAGCTATGAAACGGAGATAAGCACCGTCCCTAGGGTCGAACATGACTGGACAAGGGAAACCTTTATCTTTTTGAACCTNCCAGCCCCCCCCCCCCCCCCCCCCGCCCCGCTTAAGCAGGAGAGCCTGTTCCATTTCAGACAAATGAATGACTTGACTATGTTTAGCTTCATTTCAATATCTTACAGCTTTCTAGGTTTCTAAACTTCAATGCAGTTCAGAATTAGTATAGACAAAGAAAAAAGCATAATGATCTGGTTCAATCTATTTTCTTTTCTTCCACTTTGGTAAAAGTAAACACTGAATCATGTCAAAGTCTAATTTATCAAGCAGTTTGTTTTCAGCAATGAATGGTCAGATGCTGTTGTGAATCTACATGAAGTTCATTATCCTATGTTTTCGATATTTGAGGAATTTGATAATTGCAGATTTAGACACAAATTCTCTGAATTTGCATGTTCCAAATAAATGTACTGTATACATCAAAATTTACAAGTCTTATATAGTACATTCAAAGTAATTCTAAATGAATTCAATAAGACTTGTTCTCACATTAATGAATATAGGATTGCCACCTCTGGTTAGTGATCCAGCAGTTACCACAATCGTGAATACTTTAACACAATTCCTGACTCTTTATCCTTAGTGTTAAAGTAATTTGAAAATACACTTTTAGAGAGAAATTATGACTAGCAGTACACTTAGTCCTCATTTAATTACCATAATTGGAACCAGCAACTTGGTCATTAAGCGAAGTGATCACTAAGTGAAAAATCATATGACCTTAATTGTCCTTACAATTTAATTTTTTTTTTTTTTCTTTACAAAATTAGTAAGATATGACTCCAAATAGCAGAGTAAGCTCAAACAGTTGGGAAGATTTTTGGAATTTGACTTATGAGGAAGCTGGGTAAAAGGGCGAATCTTATAGTCCTTTTTCCTCGATTCGCACACCCTTTGGAATGCTGACCCCAGGGCTAGGATAATTAGCAAGAAGAGAATTAATACATTCATTGTAGAGAAAGGGATTACAAGAGAATAAGCAGGCAAACAATGGGGAATACACATCAAAAGCAATGAGCTAGTGTTAACTGCTTTCCTAGCATACTCTTTACTGCAGCTGCTTTGATGACAAAAATTCCTCACTGTGAAATTGATTAGGGTCTTGTCCCTGTCAGTCAGCAGCACCAATGGGCTGGAGGAGTCTAATCAATTAAGATCATAGAGTTAAGCTTGTTACCTAACTTGTAGTTAGCATTTTTAAGGGGCATATTGCACCATGGAGAAAAGCAGCTTAGGAAGAGATACTATAGCTTATTTGAGCAATATCTCCACTGTATGTGAGGAGGTGGTGACAGGTCAAACACAGGACAATGCATACTAACTGCAATGGCCAAAACGTGACAGAAAAAATTCAGGTCATAAATGCAGGCATAAGTCACAAAATTATTTTTTCATCACTGTTGTAACTTTAAACAATCTCTGTCCAAGGCAGTAGCTAAATGAGGGCTACTGTACTTATATATATTTCAATTCAAATTAGAGTTATGGATGGGCAGGGACAAATGCAATACATATCACAAATAAATTTAATTCTTCAAACCTTCCTTCCTTCCTTCCTTCCTTCCTTCCTTCCTTCCTTCCTTCCTTCCTTCCTTCCTTGTTGATTCCTGGTGATTGTCTGTACTACTCACTGCAATTAGCTCCACAAAATTTCAGACATGGTTTGTCATTCTCTCTTTCTTAGTGCTAAGAGAGAGTGACTGGCCCAAAGTCACCCAGCTGCTTTATACATAAGGCAGGATTGAACTCATAATTTCTTAATTTCCAGCCTAGTGCATTAAGCACTACACCATACTGGCTTCCTATCTCATCTTAATAAATATATCCTATTTATTTTTAAAGTAGCTGAAAATACATTGAGAGGTTAAAACAATTCTTTTGTAGGCATGGCAAAACCCAAGTCAGAACAATAATTGCAACCCAAGCCCCATGAATACTCTTTAGCTCCATTGTCCAAGAAATCAGAATTAAGGTTTCTTTTCTTATGAATACAGTTTTAATATAATATTCTGATAGGAACATTTTGTCCTTGAGGTCCTGAAGCATTTGCTTCTCTCTTTCTTCCCAACATCAGAAGAATTTCATTACCTTGAAAGGATGTAGACTAATTGTTATAGGCTGACTTCTTAAGCCATTTTCCATTCTTCTATACCAGAAATCATAATCCTAATTATCCAGAGTGGTTATTATTCTTAGTAAAATAACATTAATGTAATCTTCTCTATATCATTTTTTGCAGGATATTGTATCAAAAATGCTTCATGTAGATCCCCATCAGCGCTTAACAGCAGCCCAAGTTTTAAGGCATCCATGGATAGTAAACAGGGAGTATCTCTCCCAGAATCAACTCAGCAGACAAGATGTTCATCTTGTAAAGGTATGTCTAAATGCTGCCACTTCTTAGACATCGAAAACTTGGTGGTGGTCTCATAAGATGCTAAAATAATTAACCTGATTTTACATACAATCAGAACCAGCCACATTATTTCATTGTGGACTAGAATTTTTAATTCTCTCCTTCCCTCAAAGATCTTAAAATTATTTTTTTTTAAAAAAAATAACCTAATTCTTACAAGGTCACCTACATTCATGCAATCTTGTGAGAAAGTGCCAATCAATATCTGTCAAGATGGTCTTAGTGTAAAGTTGAGGTGAACTCCCACAATCTGCTGACCTCAAAAATCATTTTTTGAGGAGGAACCAAGTCACAGTAATCATGCAGTGATGTTCAGATTCTAAAAAGTTGCAGATCTCTGTCATGAATTATTTGTCAGTAAGAATAATGAACTGGTAGGAAGGAGGGTACAGTGGCCTAGCTGTTAAGATGCTGGGCACGTCGATCGGAAGTTTGGCAGTTTGAGAAGAGAAGCACAACATGACGGGGTGAGCTCCCAATCCTGCCCCAGCTCCTACCAGCTTGAAATCATGCAAAATGCAAGTAGATAAATAGGTACCATTTCGGTGGGAAGGTAACAGCATTCCATGTGTCTCGGTGTATAATCATGCTGGGCACGTGATCATGTAAGCCTCTTCTGACAACACTGGCTCCCTCAGCTATGAAACGGAGATAAGCACCGTCCCTAGGGTCGAACATGACTGGACAAGGGAAACCTTTATCTTTTTGAACCT